AAATGTATAATAAAAATATATTTTTGTCATAAATTTGTATTGAAAAAGCAAAAGTTGACTTCTAATTTATCAATTGTTCAATTAAATTTACCCACTTGATACCAATACTAAAATTAATATCATTTTTTACATTTTTTTATATACATTTATGACAAAAATGCCCTTAAGGGTAGTAGTTAAAAAAACCCTTTCACAAACTAGACAAATAAGATAAAAATATAAATTATATAGACACTCATGTTTATCATAAGTATTTATTTAGTCATTCACCTTTTAATTTGTGAATTTAATTACTAAGCTTTCTTTTAACTTATTTTCATTCATCAATCTCCTTTTTCTCACGAATTCTATTGACCAAACGCCCTTTTTGCACATTTCATATTATTGTTTCCCTATCAACACCCTTAATTATTCAAAGCCTACAAACACTCAAAAGTTAATTGCAAAGTCACATGTAGGTCATGTGTTATTAAAATCTGTCAACTGCCACAACACATGGCTCAATTTTTATCCATGTAGTGTGCTCATTATGTGGACAATCTACAATGATGTGGCAACTATTGACAACCAATTTTTTTAAAATGAAAAATGAAAAATTAAGTGTGAAATTTAAAAATTTTAAAATCGCTACTCGTCCAAATTATAAAATGAGATAAGTCACCTAAAATGTTCTGTGCAAAGATCAAGTCCAAGGGTATGGTTAGACGTGGGGAAGGGTGTAATGCCCCATAATTTTCTTCATTTCATATTTACCCTTAATTGCTCTTAAATGCCTAGAATGCAAATTTGGGGATCAACATGTCTATTTAAGCAAAGTTGAGTTCTTTGGGTAGAAAATAATGAAATGTGGGTCTAGATGAGATCATGGCATTATAAATTAACTTTTGTATAGTTATATAGTACTAATTATACTTTAAATTAGTTTAAAAAAAGCTTATTAATTAGTAAAAAGTATAATAGAGATATTTTAGTCATTTTACATATTAAAACGTAAGATATTACATATTATGACATATATTATGACATAAAATATATTTTACTATTTATTTATGGTCAAAATAGTCATTTAATGATTTGTTTTAGCTTAGTTAAACTTGAGTCAAAGCTTAGTTAAAAACAAAACTTTCATTAATGGCAATCTTGTAAATATAGGAACTTAGGTATGTGAAAATAGGGAAGAAGAAGAGCCGAAAATTCTATTTTTTTGAGAAGGAAGCCTGCGACCCTCCATGGATGCTTTCCCTTAAAGCTTTTCTCTTCTAGTTTCTAATTTAGGGTAAAAATGGGTGTTTTTTCAAGGATTTCAACATGTTAAAACCGTCTCTAGTAAATATTTTACTTGGAGAGGTTTAGATTTTAAATTATTTCATGAGCTAAATTCTAGAGTTTGAAATGTGGGCACAATTCCAAGAGCAATAGTCAAATTCTCATTCAATATTTAAGCATGATCTATTTGAAAGGTTAAAACCTCATTTTGGTCCCTCTACTTTAATAAAGAGTCCTTTTTTAGTCCATCCACTTAAGAAAGCTATTTTTTAATCTTAAAGTTTAAAATTCAGCTCCTTTTTAGGTTCCTCTACTTAAGAAAATAACCTTTTTAGTCCTTTCTTTTTGGGATTTCCATTAAGATAACATGTCATGCAAGAAAAAATAATGAAAGGATTAAAAAGGGATTAGGTTTTAAACTTTAGGGACCAAAGAAGGACTTTCTTAAGTAAAAGGACCAAAAAGTGTTTTAACCTATTTGAAATGAATCGAAAACGAAATACCTAAGTTTGATAGTACTTTTGGATTCTGAAAACAAACTCTAACTTCCTTTTTTGCCTTTGATTCCTCAAACCTAAAAATCTTAGTACTCTTTTAACTCTCTAAATTTTTTCGCACTTTCTCTACCTTTCTTCACCATTTTATTTTCTCTTTTTCTTCTCTTGGTTTTTTTCTCCTCTTCCCCTTTTTTTTTTTTTTTTTCTCTTTCTCCAATTTTTTACCCTATACCCTCTTACTCTTATACGTAAAATTATAGGAGGCAAAAATACCATCCAGCCATCTAGCTGTCTTCCTTTAATCTCCACCATTCTTCACCTAACCTCACCACCCACCTACACCCTCTAGATTCCTACAACTTGCAAGTTGATTCAAGCTCATGAGATGGAGGAGATGAACAGTTGATGTGGCTCCAAACCTTGTAATTTGATAAGAGAAAAAGGATAATGGGTAATGATGAGTGATTAGAGAGGTGATGGATTTGGGGTGAAGGGGGAGGACTCCTCCTCTCCCTCTCTACAAGTGGGATGCAAACCCTAGCCTACCCTTTTTTCTAGTTAAATGTCAATTTTGGTTCCTTAATTTTGGGCCTTTACACAATTTTAGTCCTTTAGCTTTGTATGCATATTTTGACCTCCCTTCACAGTAAAAATGCATTGTTTTTAGTCCTTTTTTTATACATGTTATAAAATGCACCATTTTTAGTCCTTTCATACATTAATCTATTAAGTATATTTATATGTGCATATTTTTAATCTCTAAACTTTTTAAGTTAAGGATGAAAATTATACAGAATTTTAAAATTAAGAGATTAAAAATGTGCATCTATAGAAAAACTTAATGGACTAATTGATAGAAGGATTAAAAAATTACATTTTTCATAGTTAAGGGACTAAAAAGTGCATAAAAAGGTTAAGGGACCAAACTTTACAAAATACTAAAGTTAAGTGACCAAAATTAGCATTCAATCTTTTTTTGAACTTTTTTACTAAAAACGACGTCGTGTAACGACTTTGTGCTTTTGTCTGAATTTTGTTCGCATGACACATTGATCCTCTAACTTGATCCACTTCACGATTTAGTCCTACAAAACCAAACCCCCATTTTAAAATATTTCAATTAAATACAAATTGTCACTAAAACTCAAATATTTTGGGAATTTCATTTATAAACATGAAGTATCAGAAAAATCAAGATTTTTTTTTAAAAATAAGGTAGCATAAAATTTAAGTTATGAGAATAATATTTTAAATGGCATAGTATCCACCTCATCTCTTGAACTCACATCTTGGTAAGACTTTTCAACAATACAAAAACTATTTTCTTTTTTTTTTTTATAAAAAATTCTTATAAGTATAACCAAGGTGTTATAAGAATACATGCAAATCATAAATAATCACCGTCAAATCTCTATAAAACATATAAAGAAAAACTATTTATTCCAGAGTTTTAACACAACTAAATAAATAATTTAAGTTAGGCCCAAATTATTTGAGCCCAAAACCCAACCTACACTCAAGCTAAATTAAAAGGGTTGCTCCGAATATAAACAAATATTAACAGAACCTCAAATTCACTTCTCAAATAAATTGATAGAGTTTTACATTAAAAAAATAATAATAATAAATAAATTGATTGGAGCAAATTTATTTTTTTTAAAAATATATGAAAAAATTATCTCTTTAAATTATAAATCAAAATAAATTATTTATTTTTTAATAAAAAATATCAAAATTTTATTTATTACGTCAATAATTTTTAACAAAAAATATTAAAAAATAAATAATTTATTTTTATTTATAATTTAAAAAAATAATTTATATTTGTATTTTCTTGAGAAGTAAATTTATCCTACCGATCTATTTGACGGGTAGAGTTAGGGGCTTCTGGGACAAATATTTGTTGACTAATTGTTTTCCTATTTTCCCTTCATAGTTTCTAAATCATAACACATCTTTAAAAAATGTAAGCTCACACAATCAAAATCGCACCATCCCTTGATTTTAGCCAATAATTTTGTCATATCTTGACACGAACTTATCAATCTCGAATTTTTGTTGGCTTGGTGCGCTAAGCCCGTACTTTAGAAGAGCTGTAGTCCCCATCTCCACCTCCACTGCCACCACCGCCTTCCTCGTTGCTCTGCCGCATGTAGTAGCCCCTCAGTCTTGAACCTCCGATGATTCCCTAAACCATTCCGAGCCAACCCTTCGCTGTCCTTACCCAGCCAAACTCCTCCAGATCCTATTTCTTTGAATGACAGCAAGTTCTGACAAAAAATATCCCGACTGAGCAGCACAGTCCAACGCCAAAAGTAGCGCCACAGAAGGATTCATCCCTATTTTCGCCTCTCCTCCAAGAAATTTGCTGAGATTCAGATTTTGATTTTTTATTTCAATTTGCTTCTATCTACTAGGACAGGAACGGAGGGTTTGGGAAAGGGTGCTGACTATCCCATGTTGCATGCTAATCATTAGATCCAATAAGAAGTGTTATAGCTCCATTCTAAGTATAACAATGCCAATAGGATGCTGCTAGTTGTCCCAAGATTCTTTGTTAAGGGTTTCTTCTTCTTTTCCTTTTTTTTTTTTTTTTGGCCTTTTTT